TATAAAAACCATTGTCTGAACCACATTTCCGTTAGACCATCGGACTTTAGTGTGATATCTGATCGCACTTAAACACAAACAACCATCGCACTTTAGCGTGACCATCGAACTTAAGCGTGACCATTGCACTTTAGAGTCCAACATACATATAAGCTATTGCTTATAGCATCTTAGAAATAGACTTAATGTAGTTCAGGGGTATAGAAAAATAAAATGCTCCGCAGGGCGCAGCTTGATACGACCGCAGAGGTCGAACCCTGAACAGTTGGGGCAAGTATGGACACAACATTCAAGCTTGATACAGCTCTGAATTTGGATTGTGATTAAATATTTGACACAGCATAGGTTTCTGACACAGAATGAATGTGGTCTAAGAACTTAAAAATTTTAAATTGGACATTCACCTATTATGGTCCAATATCCAAAATCTAAATACATGGTTAGATTCAGCATATCAAAGAACCCCAAGAATTCAATTTTTGATGAAATCAAACAAAGTTTAATTTTGGACCCTTTTGACCTCAATGTGGACAAAGTTGATAACGGGGCCCAAAAATCTAAATACATGGTTAGATTCAGCATATCAAAGAACCCCATATATTCAATTTTTGTTGAAATCAAACAAAGTTTAATTTTGGACCCCGATTTGGACCAACTTGAAAACTGGGCCCATAATCAAAAATCTAAATACATGTTTAGATTCAGCATATCAAAGAACACTAAAAATTCAATTTTTGTTAAAATCAAACTAAGTTTAATTTTGGACCCTTTGGACCTTAATGTAGACCAATTTGAAAACGGAACCAAAAATTAAGAATCTAAATACACGGTTAGATTCGGCATATCAAAGAACCCCAATGATTCAATTTTTGATGAAATCAAACAAAGTTAAATTTTGGACCCTTTGGACCTCAATGTGGACCAATTTAAAAACGGGGCCCAAAATCCAAAAACTTAATACACGGTTATATTCAGCATATTAAAGAACCCCAAGAATTCAAGAATAAAACCCCATTGAAATTGATCAAGAAATAAGCAATTTATAAGAAGTATCTTCTTTTGCACAATACTGTGCAATTGAATATTTCTTGCTATTGCGCAATACTGTACAATTGACAATTTCTTGCTATTGCGCAATATTGTCCTATTGGATATTTCTTGCTATTGCGCAATACTGTGCAATTGAAGATTTCTTGCTATTGTGCAATACTGTGCAATTGAAAATTTCTTGCTATTGCACAATACTTATTATATAAAAATTTACACATCCTGTTTGGTGTGTATCTCCTACCATATCATTATTATTTGCTTTTAAATATAAATCAGAAATAACCAACTTAAAATGGAAAATTTAAAAAAAAAAAAAAGAAGGAAAAAAAGAAAGAAAACCCCCCAACCCCCCAACCCCAAATTTTTTTTAACCCCCTTATGATTCATCACCCCCAAACTCAATCCCAGCCTTCCCTTTGTGTAATGGTACCTTGCAGTACAATTTCAGAGAGATCCATACACTTGAACACAAGTTATTGTCTTGAAACTAGAAAAATGCTTATTTTTGGCCCCTTTTTGGCCCCCAATTCCTAAACGTTTCAGGCAATTACCCCCGAACTCAATTCCAGCTTTCCCTTTGTGATATGAAACCTTGTAGTACAATTTCAGAAATATCCAAACACTTACACACAAGTTATTGTCATGAAACTAGAAAAATGCTTGTTTTTTGCCCCTTTTTTGGCCCCTAATTCCTAAAATTTTGAGGCAATTACCCCCAAAATCAATTACAGCCTTCCCTTTGTGATATGGAACCTTGTGGTACAATGTCAGAGAGATCCATACACTTACACACAAGTTATTGTCTGAAAGTTACAAAAATGCTTATTTTTGGCCCCTTTTTGGCCCCTAATTCCTTAACTGTTGGTACCATTGGAGATCCATTCACTTAAACTAAAGTTAGAGTGCGAAAACCAATGTGTCTTCGGACGACGCCGGACGACGCCAGACGACGACGACGACGACGACGACGACGACGACGCCAACGTCATACCAATATACGACCAAAAAAATTTTAATTTTTGCGGTCGTATAAAAATGACAGAATTTTCTTATACTTTGTGAACTTAAATTTTGTAGCATGGTAATTGAAAAAATCCAAAAAAAATTGGGGGTCACCAGCCATCTAAGAGATTTTTTGACCTCTGAAAATGAGTGCAAATAGGCTATATGGATATATAGGGAAAATGGACATAAAGCCTCTTTGATTGAATTTTCACAGCAAACAAAAAGACAGACGTTGCTCATTTTTTCATACTGAAAAGTTTGATGTCTCTATTTTATGAAATTGGAATAAAATTTGGGGGTCACCGGCCATCCAAGAGATTTTGTTACCTCTACAAATGAGTGCAAAAAAGGCTAAATATAGGAAAAATGGACATAAAACCTCTTTGATTGAATTTTCACAGCAAACAAAATGACAGAAGTTGCTCATTTTTTCATACGGAAAAGCTTGATGTCTCTATTTTATGAAATTGGAATAAAATTTGGGGGTCACCGGCCATCCAAGAGATATTTTGACCTGTGAAAATGAGTGCAAAAAGGCTAGATATATGGAAAATGGACATAAAACCTCTTTGATTGAATTTTCACAGCAAACAAAAATGACAGAAGTTGCTCATTTTTTCATACTATAAAGCGTGATGTCTCTATTTTACGAAATTGGAAAATATTTGGTGGTCACCGGCCATCCAAGAGATTTTTTGGCCTCGGTAAATGAGTGCAAAAAGGCTAAATATAGGGAAAATGGACATAAAACCTCTTTCATTAAATTTTCACAGCAAACAAAATGACATAAGTTGCTCATTTTTTCATACTGAAAAGCTTGAAGTCTCTTTTTTATAAAATTGGAATTAAATTTTGGGGTCACCGGCCATTCAAGAGATTTTTTGACCTCTGAAAATGGGTACAAATAGGCTAATTTCTGAATGGATATAGGGGAAATTGGAAAAAACCTCTCTTTTTGAATATTCACAGGAAAAAAATGACAGAAGTTGCTAATTTTTATGCCCCATCGTAGCTGAGGGGGCATTGAATTTTACCCTTGTCCGTATGTAAGTCTGTTCGTCCGTATGAACGTCCCAGATTTGATTTCCGTTCTCCAGCTTTTATTTGCCTCAACCAAATGTTATGAAACTTTATCAAAATGATTTTACCACACAACACACACCAAGTTTTAATTTTGTTGGTGTCACTTTAACCGTTCTAGAGTTATGCCCCTTTACAAATTGAAAAATTGCTGAATTTTTCCTTTCCTTTCTCTAACTTTAGTTTGCTTTTACCAAATGTTATGATTGATATCTTGCAGTTTCCTTCGCATTTTCTTATCAAACTTTGAAGTATTATTAAGTATCATGTGCAGATTAGATTTCGGTGTAAATAGGCTGTGTTTGCTTTATATATAAGACTCATTTCTAGAGGAGCACCAACATAAAATATTATGTAAAGGAAACATGGCATTTTCTGTTTATTTTCTTATTATGATATGAGTTCGAATGTCCCATTAGTATGGTTAATCTTTCTTTTATCACACATTAAAGATTCATATAAATGTGAGCAATTGTTCTTGTTTTCTTTTCATTTCTTTTTAATATTAAAAAAATACATTCCGAATAAATTTGACAAAAAATAGACTTACCATCACTACCACACATAATCAGCACAGTAAGTGCCCCCCTTTTTCCACTCCATTTGATTATCCAGTATTATGTGGTGATTATAATTATAATTGTTTTTCTTTTTGTGTGTTACCGAGTTGATTTAGGGAATTAACATGACTAAGCATATTTCTTGATAGAAGTGAAACAACAACATGTGATCTAATACATTTATTTTATTTTCAATGGATATCTGTTCTTACGTTTGTTTGTACATATATAATTAAATAAAGATGCCAAATAAATAACATGTTTTTCTCAGTTAGAAATACTGTTTGTAGTAGCTAGGTTAAATAATTTCACTGAATAAAATTTGCAAAAGCCTTGCTAATAATATAAATTTTTAAAAACATTAAGACATTTTGCTTTGGACTTCAACATGACAAATTCTAGATTTAACCCTAATTTGGTTTATTATACAATTATTTGCAAAATGTAGATCATAATGAATATGTGTAAAATTTCATTAACTATGTTCAGCACAAACATTGACCTAACCAATAAGTGAATACATGTATCATCATGTAAACATCAAATAGTCATGATTGAAGTCATCAAAATAGTGTTTGTTTGAATATATTTGCCGTAACTTGTATAAGTCTTTCTGATATCATTTTATCCCATATTCAATCTTTTAAAGATGGAGATCTCCTTCTTTCCCATCCACAGAGGTAGGAGTATAATTATGCCAGACATCTCATTCAAAATTTTACTTTTTGAATATACAGTATTTTGATACTTCTGTACAAACAGATGAAAGTATGTTATCTATAAATATATTTTTTAAAGTTCCAACAGCAATAACATTTCTAAATAACATTGGATGTCTTTTTACTAATATAAACACCTGAGAGACTACAATTGTTCCTACTGCTTTTTTATAATTGTTAAGCTATTTTCCAAAAATTTCTATATACTTGTTCTAATTGCCTGTACAAGCAATAAAAAAAATCCACCAAAATATATATAAAAAAACACAGAAAAGACTAAGATTTATAGAACTGTTAACTCAACATATTTTGAAACTCTTATCTCAAGTTGAACTTTTTTTCAAGAAACTGTACAGTCAAAATTTATCATACTATGTTCATACAGTCTATCTTTATGATCAAAATTTGGGTTATAGCTGGATAGATTACTTCACTGGATTATGTATGCATTAAAAACTCAAATGCATCTCCTCCAGTAAGAAATGGTTTTCCAATCAACAATAAATTATTACACAAACTTAAAAAAATTGATATCTAAAAAAATTCAAGGTTCATATAAAGTTGTATCACTATCAAAACTATTTGGTTTATATCATGAAGATATGTCTACAATACATTTACAAATATTACAGCAGGGCTCACACTACCATTTACACTAATTTACAGTACACATTAATGTTTATCTCTGATCATGAATTTCAACAAAAGGTTAGTTAAGGTAAAGTTCTGCATAACAACGATCAATTTTCTAATTCTTATCATACAGGAGGAATAATATTTTACGTTAAAACTTCATGACCTCCCATGTAACTGTATCATATGCTCTTAAAGTATTACCACTGACTGACTACCTTAACAAACATATTTTTCCTTTACTTGTGACTAATTAGATACTCATATACTCTTTGTATAATTATTTTGTTTGATGTCACTCTAACTACCCCAGTTGAAGACTTTTCTGTCATTAAGGCTTTGAGTCCTGCCATGTCATTTCGTTGTACTGCTAATTGGAAATGTTGAAACCTTAGGTTATACCTTTTGGTCTTTAGTGCCATAGCTTTTGACAGACATTTTGATTGAACTAGCTCTTCAAAAGTTTTCAAGTTGGCCAATTGCATCTGGTATAACTGAGGGTAGCTAGGTGAAAAAGCAAGTTCACTAATAAATTGAGAAACATTACCTTTCTCAGTGACTAAATTAAAAAGTAATTTTGTGTCATACACAGCATTATGAGATTCATACTGTTGACTAATAGTTTATCAACGAGAAAAGACTGGCTATAAGATGACAAGCCAGGTGAAACGAGTTTAAACAAATTCAAAGAGTCTAAAAATGCAACAGTTCTTGCACATAGTTCACTGTACATATTCATAGATTTTAAGGTATGAAATAAAACATGGCAGTCAAATCGTTTTATATTATGTCCTACCAATACAGGTTTATCTGTGAAACTTGACAAATACAAATAAGTTAAAAATCAGTCATTCTTTCATGTTTATGCTTATAAACAACAGCATTACCATTGTAATACATTTTTTGTCCTACAATAGTGATTTTTGTTATTTCTGATGCTTCTCTTGAAATTTGTTGGTCTGGAAATATATATCGACTGAAGGAACTGTCTTTGGTGCATGCAGCTATCTGGGTTATATCAGAATATATACCTGAAGTTAAACATTTTGTTTATTATTGTGCATCTAAACTGTAAAAGGTATTTCGAAAAAGCAATTAATTGTCAAAAAATTATAAACAGGACTAAGTCTTCTATCCCCCTCATTTGAACTTTCGTTGATGGTCTTATTGGCAATTATACCACATCTCCTTATTTCATATCTCTCTTCATTGAAATAACTAAAAAAAAAAAAGTTTTGCTCCACTGGTCTGTAAATATTTTTCTAAAATTATCATCTTTGTATTTTATCTCACTTCCAAAATAAGGTAGATGCAAAGTGTAAATTGCTAAAAAAAATGAAAGAGTTATTGCCCCTTAAATGTATTGTTTCAGCAATTTTCAGTTTTTGGTTTTATTTCAACTAAAAGAAAAAAAGAACATTAGAATAATCATCAAAAGCATTCATGATCCTCTTAATATACTTTATTCATAAGGCAGCCAAAATGCATTGACTTTAAAATTTGGCTTTACACAGTATATACAGACATTGATAATGTGTTTCTGTAGATATTGTTATATCTTTGATGTCATGAAAAAATCCAGTTCTTTCAATTTTAACATTATCCACTGAAATATTTTTTTATAATTGAGGTAACTCATTTCTGAAGTATAATTATGTATAACTTACTTAAACCATTTGTCTTTAAATCAAAACAAACTATTGGTGCATCATCTATGTTGTAAAGGTTTCAGCTTCAGGAACTGCAGGTATTTCTTCTATGTCTATTGTTGCAAAATCTTCTAACCCTAATTAAAATAATATATACCAAGTCTTTGAAAGAAAATAATTTCAACTTTATAAAATATCAAAATCTACTAAAATTCATTAATATTTTGTGACTAAATTGTCCCAAAAATTACAATACTTCAGAAGTCTGGTAAATTTCATGATTACATCTTCATGTTAATTATATAACTTTAATGTCTGGCTGAAATCTCACGCATTTTCACAGTTGGTGATTAATTGCACAGTCACTTTATAATTTGAAAACTTTTTTGACCTGGGGACATAAAAATATATACATGAATATTACATATGCATGGACCTGATGGTGTTGCATTCTTCTATTTGGATATAATGATCAAATGTATCAAAGGTTATTTTATATATCCTAAGCCTTGTTTCTATTTTAAAGTATATATTGATGCTATGTTTCTATTATAATAATAATAATTATGTATATTGACCTCTTCAAAAGTAAAAAGCACATCATACTTTCTGTCAATATAAGAATTATTACCGATTGAACTGTGGTATGTTCTCCCTTCTTTGACTTCAGCCACTGTTGTTTTTTGTAGGCGTTTCTTTTTGAGAACTTTATGTTGTTTTTTTCCCTGTTTGCTTTTTAATCTGTTTTTGTTGCCCTCTCTCTTCTTGTTTAATTTATTACCCCTGCTTAGGGTCTCATTTCCAGGTGACAGGCCTATAGATGTGTTTAACTGAAAAATCAATTCATTTAAAATCATGCAAGTCTTTATCATCTTTATAATAATTCCTTAAAAAAATCATATTTTGTATGCTTTTGTAATGAAAGTTGAAGGCATTTTGTAGTATGAATATTACATTTTGAGCAGCAATAATCAATCATTGAATAGAATTCGGCAAAATTGAGATTAATCTTGACCTGATGTAGAATAATCAGAATATTTACCCAGGAATCTTTAACAGTTGATATCATAATGTATTGGTTTTTTTGCTCATTTTTAAAGGCTGTAAAAGTAAGGGCTTTTCCAGAATTAATTTATGGGAAGGAGGACAGCACTTTTATTAAAATTTGATGGGTGGTGGTTATCTAAGAAAGATTGCCTGAACATTTATATGAAATATCCAATTTAAAATGTATGCATGGTTGGGTCAAATAAAAAGTGCCTTCCTACCCCCCCTCATTTGCAATCATACCGTATTTTCTTATTTTTATATTTTTTTAGTTTATTTTTTTTAATAGAGAAGTATATATATATATATATATATGAAGTGAGATTGCATTTATTACATGTTCATTGTGATTATTAAAGCCTTAATGTAAGTTGCTAATTTCTGTTCATTTGTCTTAATTGCAATTAAGTATAGGATGTTTATCAAATAATACCTCAGCAACATAATTATAACCCTCATTTTTTTGGAGTACGGCTGAGCTGACTCTGTAATTTAAAGATGCTGATGTGGAGAAATGTTTGGTTTTTAGAGCTTTGAGAGCAATTAAGTTATTAAAGCTTTCATTTGCCTGTGATGAGCCCAAGTTAGATAGCTTTTTTGAATAAACAGTTTCTCAAGATCTGATCTGTGTTCAGACGAACATAGGTCTTTTCCACGAGGAAGATTTGAATGGATATAGGAATCCTTGTCTTTAAGGTATCCACACCAAGTTTCATTGCAGTTATCATGTTCGCCAAATATGTGTTTTATTGATGCATGTAGGCCGTCCTCAATACCACTTGGATTACCTACATTCTGGTTGACAACGTATGTAAAGTTTTTAACAATTGCGTCACAAACCATTCCAGTTAACTCTTTGTGTTTTGGCTTTAGTTCATTTATCTTTGAAATAATGTTATGTTTGATATGATTTCTATCACTTATTTTTTCCATTTTTGAATTGGGCATTATTAATCGCTTGGCTCAGTCAAAACCTGTGGAATCATCATCTCCTACTACTTCTAATATATCCACTCCTTTTTCATCTAATTCCTTTAACATTTCGACTTCCATATCTGGTTCCATACCCTGAATCAGTTTTTAAAATAATGTGTATTCAGTAAACATTTAGATGATACCACAACCCCATATTTGATTATCAAAAGCCTTAAACTTTGCATTGACAAAATTTTTTGTAAAAATTCCTCAAAAATGAAAGCGTACAAGGTTTGATTAATTCAACAGTTGTATCTAACAATTCTAATAATCTGTCAATTATTTGAAATTGAAATGTTTTGCAAACACTAAAGAATGAATGGTCCTCACATTCACTTTCATCAACTAAACATTGAATATGCCAATTCAAAATTACAACTTATTTTCAAAGTAAATATTGAGGTGTTGTTTGTTTTCACAATGCAATGATGACGGGACGTATCATGAGATATCGTTGTCTGTCTGTTCTTCTGTTGTCAACATGTAGGACATTAACTCAAAAACGCTTTAACTAATTTGCATAAAACTTTGATGAATTGTTATATATATTGATGTGAGATCCCTTTGGTTTTTTATAAATTTTAGATTTTACATTTCCGAGTTATGGGGTTTTATTCATTAAAAAAGGGGTGATTTTCCAGTTTTGGACAATGACTCAAAAATGCTTTCAGCAATTCTCATGAAACTTTAGTGAATTGTTTATATCTATTGATGTAAGCTCCCTTTTGATTTTTATACATTAGAAATATGACATTGAGAAGTAATTGAACTTTTTCTTTGAAAAAGTGATGGGCGTATCATGTGCTCATGGCGCAGCTGTTTATTACCATTGTTATTGCTTTCATATGGTAAATACCTTTGCCGAACCACTCCAATTCTTTCTACACTTATGTTGTCGTGGTAAGACACCTCTGCCCTTTGCCCTTTCACAAATTCTACAGCTTGATATGCGAACCTTATGGTTTACAACTTTGCCTGTGGTTTTTCCAATCAGTGTTGAAACTTCTTCAAAATGCAACATATTGAAGTTTTATATCTAAATCACAATGTTCAAGCCAAGATTTGAAAAGAACAGGTTTATATTGAGCATATCAAAGAACCCCATATACTAAAATGTTGTTGCTCATGAAATGTACAAAACCGAAGAGTTATTGGTATTTTTTTGTTTTTTTCATTTAACAAATTGCAAATTTGTGGCTTTGTGACCATTTTGAAAAAATAATGTGAAAGTTTGGTTTAGTTTATATCTGTATATTATATTTGTTCAGCATCTACCAGTACCTTGTTTAAAGAAACTTTAAACCACAAAAAGAAGAATATCTGCTGTATTATTTTTATTAGATTTGAGATTTTTTACCTTGACTTGTTGAAAAATTTAATAAATGGTCAACTAATGAATGACGAAATCTAGAATGTAGCTTGATAAAAGATAGGAAAACAACTTAAGAGTTATTTGTTATACTCTAAAGAAGGCTTAAATATCAACAATCAATACATTCTATAGAATAGAAGCAGTAAAGTTATAATTTTTGTATCAATTTTAATTGATATTTCTGCCTTTTTTTGCAGAGTTATCTCCCGTTTTCAATGCAAATCTCCATAGGAATTTTAAATCATGATTTTTTAGTCTTCCTCAAGTAAGAATATATAAAACTTTTTGCTGTGTATATTTGGGGTATAATGCCTGGACTAATGGGTATGACTATGCGGTATGGGCTTTGCTCATTGTTGAAGGCCTTACGGTGACCTATAGTTGTTAATTTCTGTGTCATTTTGGTCTCTTGTGGAGAGTTGTCTCATTGGCAATCATACCACATCTTTTTTTTTATAATGGGGTATATTCCAAAAAGAAAGTAACTAATATTTAACAAGCAAAATGCATTTCTATAGATCCACCCCACCAGGTGATCACACTGAATGGACATGAAATAAGCACTGTCATTTTTACCTGATAAGCTGTAGTACGATCGGCCAGATCCTTTTTTCTGCCAGCATGTATCAGTACTTATGCATATTCCACTTCTACTGTCTGTTTGATCTTCTAATTTAATAGGAAAAAAATGCACATATAATATATATATATATATAGAAATAAGCAGTAATTATAGACCACTTCTGTAATCCACTTTGGTCTTGACTGTCCTTAACTAGTGTGATTAATTAATATCAATCTTGGTATAGTCTGTATAATTGATTCGAAAAATGCTCGTCCAGTCTAGACTCTGTCTCGACCTGTGTCTACAATCTTGATCTTCAAATTTAGTCTAGACTGGTCTGAATGAGCCTATCTAACTATATAATGAATTTTATATTAATTTTACAAAATTTCAGGTTATTTGGTAGTTTGTTCATTGCTGTCAAATTAAAGGCTTTGATTAATAGGTAGAAAAAAATAGAATTTTCAGTTCTGAATAAATTAATATAGTGACCTTTAATTATAACTTTAAATTTTTCCAATTAACTTAGATTTTCATAAAACTTTGCAGCTATCTCAATTATATATTGATCTTACAGAATGCCATATTGTTTGGTAGCTTGGTGTATTGCTGTCAAATTAAAGGATTTCATTAATAGGTAAAAACAGCAAGAATTTTCAGTTTGGACTAAATTCTGATAGTCACATTTAAATTTTTATAAAACTTTTCTAAATCAACTTGGATTTTCATTAAACTATATAGCTATCTGAATTATATGATGATGTTATAGAATGCAAGGTTGTTTGGTAGTTTAGAGTGTAGCTATCAAATTTAAGGACTTAATTAATTGGTTAAAAAAAGCTAGAATTTTCAGTTTGGACTAAATTCTGATAGTCACCTTTAAATATTTTCATAACTTTTTCAAGTTATAATTCTGATTTTTCATCAACATCTTTAGCTATCTCAATTAAATATTGATCTTGCAAAATACCAGGTTATTTGGTAGTTTTCGCAACTTTTGTTTATTGCTGTCAAATTTTAAAATTTAATTTATAGGTATCTTTATGCATTTAGACCAAACTGAAAATTGTGACTTTTTTTTACCTATTAATTAAATCCTTAAATTTTATGGCAATCAACAAAATAGCCACATTACCTGCATTTTGTAAGATCAATATATAATTAAGATAGCTGTATAGTTTTATGAAAATCCAAGTTGATTTAGAAAAGTTAGAAAGAAAATTAAAGGTGACTATCTGATTTAAGTACAAACTGAAAATTCTTGCTTTTTTTTTTTGGTTGAGATTGTAGAGACTGAGTCCAGACTGGTTGAGCATTTGTCGAGACCATATTCAGACTATACCAATATTATCAAGTACTCATCAGGCTTATAAAGTAAAGTATAAGTAAATGTATATAAATACAAAATAGCCATAATTGTTATCAAACCTGTTGTGGAATTCAATATTTCCCTTTGCAAGTGTCTTTGTTGTGACATGATGGCCTGATTATCAAGAACACTGCCGGCTTCATTTTCTCTAATTTTCAAGGTCTTTGCATCTATGCAATGGACATTAAGTGATGACAAAAAGTTTTTGAGCTGAGTCTCGCCAATACCAGTATGTATCATTTCTGTATTGTTTATTAAAAGATGTTTAATAAAAATGAATTGTGAATACATCAAAAAAATTGGTTCAATGTGTATTTTTTAACATGTTTAATGAATGAAGTGTTTTTCACAAGGCCTTTCATCATCACTACAAATTCTGTAATTGAGGCTATCAGAATTGTTTTTTAATGTAATATGTATATGTGAAGCCTAGGTGGTCGAGTGGTCTAACGTGTTGGATATAGTGCAATACGATTTTGTGCCACAATATCTCAGTAGTATGAGTTTGAATCCCGGCGAGGGAAGAACAAAATAAATTTGCGAAAGCAAATTTACAGATCTAACATTGTTCGGCTGATGTTTAGATGAATTATATATTTATATACCAGTAGACAGATGGTGTTATAAATGTGTTTGATGCTATAATTTATATATTAAATCCAAGATATAATTAATGATTTTGTACATGATGTGCTTTTTTTTTTCATTTTTCTCAATCAAGTAATTCTTTCTGTCAGTATTGTTCTTTTGTATTACTTTAATTGTTATTTTCTTATTATGTTGCCCCTTCAAAAGCGCCTTGTTTCTTCAATTTGAAATAAAGTATAATTTATATGTTATTCTTCTATACATGTACAGATGTACAGGGTTATGTTTTTCTTATATATTTTATGATAGATATAGGAAGATGTGGTATGAGTGCCAATGAGACAACTCTCCATCCAAGTAACAATTTAAATAAACTGCTTCGCTGAGCGCAGCTGGATACGCTCGCAGAGGTCCAACCCTGAACAGTTGGGGCAAAAATGGACACAATATTCAAGCTTGATACAGGTCTGAATTTGGATTGTAATTAAATATTTGATATATTATAGGTTTCTGAATAAATGTAGTCAGAGAACTTGAAATTGGTTATATGAAAGATTTCTTGCTGTTGTGCAATACACTGTGCTGTTGCGCATTACTTAGTAAATCTGTAGTCAGACTATAAACAAATAAAATCTTATAACTCGGAAATGTAAAATCGAAAATTTATAAAAATCAAAAGGGAGCTTACAATATAGATATAAACAATTTACCAAAGTGTCATAAAAAATGCTGAAAGCATTTTTGAATTATTTTCTGAAAACTGAAAAATCCCCCTTTTCGTAATGAATAAAACCCCATAAATCAGAAACGTATGGTCTGAAATTTATAAAAAGCAAAAGGGAGCTCATGTCGATAGAAATAAACAATTCACCAAAGTTTCTTGCAAATTGGTAAAATTGTTTTTGAGTAATTGTCTGAAAACTGGAAAATCCCCCCTTTTTTAATGAATAAAACCCCAAAACTCGGAAACGGTAAATCAAAAATTTATAAAAAACTAAAGGGAGCTCACGTCAATAGATATGAACAATTCACAAAAAGTTTCATGCAAATTGGTGAAATATTTTTTGAGTTATTGTCCGAAAACTGGAAAATCCCCCCTTTTGTAATGAATAAAACCCCAAAACTCGGAAATGGTAAATCTGAAATTTATAAAAAACGAAAGGGAGCTCACGTCAATAGATATAAACAATTCACCAAAGTTTCATGCAAATTGGTAAAAGCGTTTTTGAATAAATGTCCGACATGTTGTGGACGGACGAACGGACAGACGGACTGACAGACTGTCAACTGTATACCATAATACGTACCGTAAACGGGCGTATAAAAAGTAAACCATTATAGGTCAAGGTACGGCCTTCAACACGGAGCCTTGGCTCACACAGAACAGCAAGCTATAAAGGACCCCAAAAATTACTAGTGTTAAACCATTCAAACGGGAAAATCAAAGGTCTAATCTATATAAAAACGAGAAACGAGAAACACGTATGAACTACATAAACAGACGACAAATAGTATGATACTAAACCCCTAAAGGGAGGGATAGTGTTGATATTCATATGATGAAACATAATCTTTCAATCAGTTAAATTGAGGTCTGGGGCTGGCATGTCAGTAACAGCTGGTAGTCATTTGTTAATTTATGTATAATTGTCATTTTGTTTAGTTTCTTTTGTTACCTATTTTGACATCGGACTCAGACTTCATTTAAACTGAGTTTTAATGTGCATATAGCCATGCTGTGTGTTTGTTTTTTCTACATTGGCTTGAGATCTCACAAAACATGTTTAACCCTGCCGCATTTTTGTGCCTGTCCCAAATCAGGAGCCTTTAGCCTTTGTTAGTCTTTTATGATTTTTAATTATAGTTCATATTTATATATTTCGGTCTTTCAGAGTTTACATGTACATGATGTAGCTATATTTATATAGTATGACGTCCTCATACAATGAACTAGTACACATTTTTGTTACGAGACTAGCTGAAGCATGCCTCAGGGTGCAGGATTTTCTCATTGTTGAAGACCCATCGGTGGCTGTTTTCTGCTCTTTGGTCAGGTTGTTGTCTCCTTGACACATTCCCCATTTCCAGTCTCAATTTTACAACAAAGAAAATGTTATGCTATTTTATAAATAACAGATTTATGATGAGATGAACATAAAAGAAAGTCAACAGACACTACTATTTTTCCAGAGGACTAATAAAAATGTCAGGTGACATATGTGCGGTTGGGAAGGTTAGAAACCCTACATGAAAGAAACCTGTTGCAGCTTTCGTATTGACATCAAAAATTCCAACACCATTCATTTCTCTCCCAAAGTGGACCTTGCCTAGTTTAATTCTGTTTAAGGTTTGACATGACCAGTGTTTACAAATAATGTACACTATGCCGGTCAGACCATAGCACCGGACTCCCTTTGCATCATGCAAATGTAAAGGTAAACTACATTCTCTGCAACCTTTTAGCTGGTTAGCCAATGTGTCCAGTTCGGTCACTAGTCTACAGTGACTTAACGGTACAAGATCAGGTGGTATATATGTTAAGTCATCATCCGTTAATGTGCTTGCTGTAATGTTCTCTGTTGGTGCTATGGGCTTACAAAATGTAGCATAGGAATGATCTGATACTCGGTTGTTGTTTTTATGTTTTTGCAGAACTCTATCTAGAATTAATTTTGTTATTTTTTTGACAGATTTTGTTTGTGAGAATTGCCCCTTGTGGTTTCTGATCGACGGCATAATTTCTTTAGAGCAGACTATTATTTATTGCGATTGTCGCATTGCGAAATTAACATCTTACCTCCATGGCCATTTTTTTCAAAGGGTGCTCCGTCACTTTCAAGTCCAGTTTCAGTGATGTTAATTTGTGAGCCGCTTAATAATACACCAAAATGATTCTCAATATGTATTATTCCTGAGAATCAAGTCAGTCATCTTAATAAGCGGTTCACTTGTTTCATATCTTCTCTTTTTTCTTGAGATTTTTTTCGACTACTCACCATTCACTTTTACCAGAAGTAAACATGCTACATTTCGTCATATAATAAGATAAATTAAACATATTCGTTTCATTGAATGATTGCAAAAAATATTATTCAAAGTAAGTTATCCGCTGAAAAAAAATTGTTTACGAATGTTTTTTGTATTTATCAGGTTATCGTAAAAATATTTGTTTACGACAAGAGAATGCGTAACTTTCTGCGCAGAAGGCGCGAAAATTTAAACCCCCGAACTACCTTAACCAGGAAAACATAGCGAGGATAGGTTCAAATGAAACATTCCAGACAATGTACACCTGATAATAATTCAATGCACCAAAAATAGTGCCTTGTTGCTTTTAATATCCAAGAGAGACACTTACCCAAGAAAACTAAGTATTGACCAATGCACAATGAAAATGAGGTCAAGGTCAAATGAAACCTGCCAGACAGACATGTTAATCTTACAATTATTCCATACAAGTAATAGAGTTGACCTAGTGTGTACAGCATTTGAAAAACAGACCAAAACAAAAACAATTAACATTGACCACTGAATCATGAGGTCAAGGTCAGAGGAAACCTGCCAGACTAACATATACACCTTTCAATCATTCCATAAAATGCATATAGTTGACCTACAGCTTATGGTATCTGTATCTGAGAAACAGACTTAATAACATAACTTTAACATTAATCACTGAATCATGAAAAGAGGTAGAGGTCAGGTAAACTGTCTGTCAGAACCCATATACCAAATATATAGAGAATTAAACTAGAAGCAAAAGAGCCTGTGTCACTAACCTTGGTCTATGTGCATATCCAAAATTGTACAGGAAGTTCAGAGATTAAAGCTAAAAGCACAAAAAAAATGGTGAAAATCGTCATAAAGAGCAATAATTCGAATAAGGAGTTTTGGACAATTTCCTCCATTCCATATTTAATTGTAGATCTTGTCTTCCTGATAATTGTTTTCTAATTTAAGTTTCTATCTATCTATCATAATTTATAGGATATAAGACAAAAATATATACTAAATATATAGAGAATTAAACTAGAGGCTCCAAAGAGCCTGTGTCACTAACCTTGGTCTATGTGCATATCCAAAATTGTACAGGAAAATAGACTTCATGAAAAACAATCTGTTTTGTTATCTTGTATAGCTGATCATTAAGTCTGTTCACTTTCTCTCTATCTTGTTAAGTTTTTACTCAAAACACAAAAGACGGTTAAAAAAAAAATCCTTATTTAAGGGCAATCACTCCTTAAAAGAGTGACAGCCTACTAACTATATCGGCAAAATTTGACTTGTTAGTATATCTTGACTTGTTGATCACATTTTTGTGATTTAAAGTGTCTATTTATCTATTATAAGTTCGGAGATAAAAGCCAAAAGCACAAAAAAAATGGTGAAAATTGTCATAAAGAGCAATAATTCGAATAAGGAGTTTTGGACAATTTCCTCCATTCCTGATTTAATTGAAGATCTTGTCTTCCTGATCATTTTTGCTAATTTAAGTTTCTATCTATCTATCATAACTTATAGGATATAAGACAAAAACACAAAGAATTGGTAAAAATCATCATCAAAGGCAACAACTCTAAGAAGGAATTGATTTGAACGTTTCAATCATTAGACTTATTATAGAACTTGTCTTGTTGATCATTTTTGCATTCTAAAGTCTATCTTTATCTATTTTAGATTACAAGATAATAGGCAAAAATGAAAAAAATGGTAAAATTAGTCTGACAGTTTTGACATATCAGGACAATTGGTAAAGCTCAATG